TTATTTTTTTATTGATCCCTATCCCGTTTGGGGCCCGCTCCAAACTTTACACATCCCTGCATCCCAACTCTCCCACCCAGCTCGAGAGCTCAGTTCGGCACTCTCCACGGGACCAATCGCGGCTTTCCGGCTCGGCAGGGAGTCCAACCTTCGGCCCAGGGCACCCGATCTCCCTTGTACTCTAAATCCTGAACCTTGCTTCAAAGGTATGCACCTCAGAGCACCTTCAAAATCTCCCACTCATAGTAACGATTTCTCTCTCTCACACTCTCTCTGGCTCTAATTTGGACCAACTTGGGTTGATTTGTTTTGAAGTTATTTGTCCCACTGGGGTGATGGTGCAAGGCTTACGGGATTCGGGGTTTGGGGCTTTTGGGCTGATGGGGATTATTACTACCTGCCTCGCCTCTCGCGTTGTAGGTGTAGGGCTTAGGGAGCTTAGACTTTCCTCCCATGCTCACAATCCCCGAGTGAAGCGTCACGAGAAACTACTACCTTTCATGTCTGAATTGCACAGGATCCCCCACGCGGCTGCGAAGGAAGTTGGTCACGGAGTCGCACTCTGCCTCAAAGCGCTCGGAGGATTGATAGATTCTGGGCTTGGGTCATGAGCTTCAGGGTGTAATTAGAATATGTGAGTGTCAGAAGGACGGGAGACCCTAATATGGATATTAGACAGTGACATCCTCAATATCAAGACCCCAAAAGGCACTCCTTCTTTTCAGAACCCTCGAATCCTAGCACCCACAAAGCCCTGGAAAAAACACACAAACACACACAACATCCGAACTAAACCCCAAACACCTAAACCCTAAATACCTTTAACCCTACAAACCCTAAATCCTAAACCCTAAGCCCCTTCAGAGACCAAAGGGTTGCAGAGCTTAGACTTCTGTTAGGAGAGCCCCGGCTTTTCGCTACAAGCCCTGCACCGAAACCCTGAAAGCAATCCTAGTGTCCCTGTAGTCCTTCTACAGTTATGGGCTTTTTAAAGGCTTGGGACCTTTTCAGGGTTTAGGGATTAGGGTTTAGGCTCCTGGTCCTGTGGTTTTAGGGCTTGGGGCGTATAGGGTCTAGGGTGAAGTGCTGTTCCTCAGAACGGCAGCAAGCACCGACAAAACCAAGACAAATTCGCTTGACACTCGAGGCACGTAGAAAATGGACCCCGGAAGTTTTTGGGCTGCACCCTGCAAAGCACAGAAGGAGCAAAGCCTCAATGCAAAGAAAGTAAGCTATCAGACAAACCTGCAAAACTAAGACATTACAACTTTGGAAATGGGCCTTGCAGACCCTCGAACCCCAGGCCTGGAGACAACACAAGTCCATCGATTCGGTTTCCTTTGTAGAATTGAGAAAATGGTGCTCTTGGAAGCAACGGGCTGTAGGCGCCCAGACGAAGGACCAGAACCATATAGTTACAACTGTAAACCCTAGCCTGCAATCCCCAAACCCTAAACCCAAGACCTACTACGATGAATAATATCAGATTCGAGGCCCTGTATCTGTAGGGGAGCAGAAGCAGTTGCCACAAACTGACGAGCCTTCCCAAAGTATAACAAGCCTTTCATCCCAAAACCCTAAACCCTGAACCCACGGAAGGCCAAGAAACAGTTTGCCAGGAAGGGCCGGGGTCTACTACCGATGCTTTGATAAAATCGATCTTGGTCTCGAGGGTGTAAAGACGCGCAGCGCACGAAACCCTACAGCAACCTTCGGACGGATCCGTTTTCGGCTATTAAGACCGCCGAGTGGCCCAAACAGACCTAACAGCCCTTCAAACTCTGTCCATCCCAGTCCCAGACCTTCCAATATCCTTGATTAGGGAATATGCTTTAAATATAGTAGGATCCTGAATATGATCTTCTAAGGTATATACTCCTGAAGTAAGGGATTTTGGAAGGTTTGGGTATTCTACTCGAGTTGTGTTAGCATTACGAAGTAGGAAAATAAAGGCTAAACTTTCAGAATACTAAACTGTAGGAGTCCAGAAATTTTAAAGGTTGAGTATTGGAGAACTAAGATACTCAACCAGTGCCTCTTCGACCAGCAGGTTCAGCGCCCATCTGCTAAGATCCGGCCGAGACAGGGAAAGACCTCTAGCCTCGGTAGACATGTTGGTTCCGAGCACTGCTGTGACTATAGAATCCTACCTATAGTATTATTGCCTCCGTTGTAGTTCGTTTTCGGGGGTTACCTGATTATGAGATCCTGAATATTCAATGGGTAAATCCCACAACAAAACTGCGATGGAGACTACAAGAAAACCCAAAACCCTAGCACCCAGAGGCTCACTTCACTGCTTTGCAGGCGGGTCTACGGATTTCAGGGTCGTGGTCGGCGGGGCTTCAGCCTAGACCCCCAAACCCTAACTAACCCTAAACCCAACATCCCGTACACTTGCTCGCTTTGGGTTGAAAATTTGGGGTCTGGAGGCTTGAGGTTTCGGTACTAAATACAGTGTCAAGATTCCACATGGCGATAATACGGGGGAGGGGGGCCTTGTAGGCATCAGAGTAGGGTTCTTTCTAGATATACTTTACGGGCTCTTACTAGAGGGGCCTGAGCAGCCGGAGGAGGGCTCTGGAGTACTTTTATAGTATATGCTATAGAAGGACTCTTCAAATTGATACTATTCCTAGTTGTTTTAGACCCATGATACTGGAGAGTGTCTTTGTCACCACCGTATTACATACGGTAAAGCTTGCAGCTGGATGGCTTCACGTATGCCCCTTCCCCTTTAGCTGGACATGAGAGATCCAGCAATTCTTCAAGGACGGAAGGCGCAAATCCACCATTCTGGAAGTTCTTCTGTTAGGGTTTGGAGTCTAGGGTGCTTTGAGCGCGAGAGTCTTTAACTTTTTGGGTAGGGCTCCAGCTGCCTTCTACAGCATCCAGCCTTTACAGTAACTATCTCCCTTTGTTACCCAAAGCCTGAACCCTACCCCTGGTACATGTTCACAGCTCAGCTATCTGTGTTGATAGATCTGCTAAACGTGTGCGATCTTTTGGCCCCGGGCTGTTGAATTGCAGGATAGCGGCGGGGGATGTTGGATGTCATAAGTCATAAAGTGAGGTGAAGCCGAGGATGTCGTTTAGGCAGAAGTCTCGGGGTTCATGAGCCGAAGCAAACTTCAAGAAAGGTCAATCAGAAAGCAGGAAAGTATAGGCACTCATAGAAGAACATATATCTAAGCTTAAGCACGAGTGTTCAGTGAAATCCATGCTCCAAGCCCTTGTAGCTCTGAATCCACGCACTTCAACCCGAAGTCGTCCAACACCTAATCATCTACAACGCCGGTACGGTTGGCTATCTTGGCTCCTCACGGCCGCGGCATTGAGCACCTCATGTGAGAGCCATGAACCCGGTCATTTCTTCCGACGCAGATCGTCACTTGGTTTCTTTGGGGTTGTGCCCACGCTCGTAGCAACAACGCTGGACCCTATAGTAGAAGCCAGAAAGTTGGAACATCACAGGCATCATGCCCTTAAGGTAAAGTGTAAGCGATCGCAGCACAATCCATCCTAAGCTCATGTTCCAACTTTCTGGGGAATTGCTGTAAACCCCCAAAAGTTCTGGCGGGAGTGTCTAAACAGTGGCTTGGACAATTCAGGACCACTACAAACACGTCGGGACAGCAGACCTTTACACCTTGAAATCCCTAAGCCGTTGCGGAAGGGACCAGGTGTTATACCTTACGGCAATTTACGATTATGGGCTTAACCTCCAAGCTCAGAGCTTGGGTTTGGGAGGGTTTGGTAATAAGGCTGCGGCGGTCTAGTCCATAACGTTCTCCCAAAACGAAGGTCATCGGGTTCCGTTCGAGTTACCGACGACGCAGTTCCAAGACAAAGTATGAAACGCTTCCAGAACCTCAGAAACGAGACTATAGTGTCTTTAGCAAGCACTATACAGGCTTTTGTGTGATAAGCGGTTGTTTTCGAAGACGATGTGGATCACTGACTGAACCACTAAGGCAACAGCGACCGTACTTCGTGGCACGCCGTCGCAGTTGTCTGCCAAGCCTGCGTATGTTGCAAGTCCAAGTCCACCTCGACTAAAGTCTCAATCTAAAATCCACTGGAAGGAAATCCACCCTGAAGCCAAAACCTCTGAACCCATAAACCTGAATCCATGAACCCCCAGGCCCTAGACCCTAAACCCTTCAAGCCCAAGGCCCTGGACCTTAAACCCTCGACGCGAAGCTGCACAACCCGAGCGATCTGACTTTTCACGGCGGCAGCTGCATGCATTAATAGGGCTTAGGGTTTAGGGCTTGGGGTGAAAGTCGGAATATGGATTCAGGATGATTAGTGCTAGGATTCCCTATACTTGCGTCAAGGACATGAGGATAAAGATGTTTCAACTTGCTGGCTTCTACAGTTGGGTTTAGGGTTAAGGGTTCAGGGCAGCTGTGTTCAAGCGCACCCGGCACATCTGATATCGAAGCCTGTAGACTCAGAACAAAGTTTTGGGGGATTTGATACTAAATGTTGCAGGTTCTAGTCGTGAAAGCAGTAGGTCGTGCCAAACCGAGTGTAGACTTTGGGGGGTGCCAGGTTTAGGGTCCTCCTCAAACCCTAAACCCCCTAAACCCTAAGGGTTTATAGTGCAAACCCACTGTGCAAAAGTTGCTGAACCCGTAAGTTCAACGGGCAACCCTTAAAGATATCAAGCTTTATGGATGCCAACCCCTTCTCCCGGCTTCATATGTCCCACACCGTCCCTCTTCTTGGTAAGCTCAACCAGATACCCCACCTGCCCCTCCCCCCTTCACCTCTCAAAACAAAACACAACATACAGGACTGTAGCTGCCTTCTGCCTGCAGAACCCTGGTCAAGTCTGCATTGATGCAGGTTCTGAAGCTCTGCACAGCATAGGTTCCGAGACGCAGACGCTGCATAGCCATTCTGAATCCGAAGAAGGCCAACTCCCAATTCCTAAAACATGGAAGCATAGTTACCCTAAACCCTGAATCCAAACCCGAAGCCGTCCGGAGTTCGAAGCCCTCAGGCCATGACGCCCAACCAAAAATCTCGTGTCCAACTTTTTGGGACCCAACTGTCAACCATTCTATACCTAAGCCGCTGATTGAACGGTTTAGGGTTTAGGACCATTTGGGACCCGAAACCCTAACAACCCCAAACAGACCTTCCAATATCCCTTAATTACGGAGTGTACCTTAAAGTATACCTAGTAGGATGACTAAAACGATTGAAAGTATACTCCACAATTCAAGGATATCGGAAGGTCTGGGAATAAACAGGCAACAAACGAACGGCCTGCCCAAGCTTTCACCTCCAGCTCCGCATCACCGGCGCCCGCGGCACCACATAGCCAGGCTGCCCAAGCCTCTTGGATCGAAACAATTGTCGTTTGCTTATTTCACTGCTTCTCTTGTTCTTGATGTCGATAGCATCATTATCGCTAAAATCCCGATCATGACTTTCAAGTCTGTGAAAGTAAAGTATTTATAACCAACCTTTTAATTGGAGGGTCTTAGGGCTGACCTCCAAGAAGTAAGAGTGCTGTATTGGTTAAGGATGCTTTCCTGGACAGGCTGTTTGGGGCGCTCAGCGTAGCTCAGGTCGTAACTTTAAACCCTAAACCCCCAAACCCTAAACCCTCAGGCCCTAAACCCTAATTGCGCGAAATGGCTTGTGGAGGCGCTTGGCAAAATCTGTCGGACGCATCACTGCTCACCGAGTGTCTACACAAAGAGATCGTGAAGTGAAACTTCGCAGACTGCGGGGTAGTTGGATGCCCTCAAAGCTCTGGTTGATATTGCGACCAAATGTCAAACTCTGCAGGCTGCTGGGTAGTTGGATGCCTTCCATACGCTGGTTGAAAGTGGCGCCGAATGTCAAACTTAGTAACTATACCCTAAACCCCTACAGACCCTAAACCTTTGCGTTATTTACAAGGTAGTTGTATACTTGCAGTTACTTCCGACCTCAATCAGTCGACATAGTCAGTTCTGTTTAGGGCTCCCAAGCTGTAGGTGCCTTACTAAAGCGGACTTGGGTTTTGTTGTATGTAACTATAGTTGTGATAGGGAGCCCTATTGAACAATATCGCTGACAGTTCAAGCTCCTGCAATATCCAAGAATGAGAACGTGTTCCGTTTAGACTCTCCTCTCAAGTCATGTTGTAGGACTCAAAAAAGTCCGTCCAAGCTACGAGTGCCCAAGCAGTTCCGAACATACCCAGAAATCAACGTTTTCAGCCTTGGCGTTGGATTAAGGGTTTTGGTAAGGGCTTACAGGTCCCTGCATACCTGCCTCTGTTCCCACGCAGATGTTGCCCAGCACCTCAAGCCGTGCCAGAACGACAAGTTTATTCGTCGCACCCGCAAGTTCGGCTTGTGCATGTAGCAACCCCCTTCTTCGCCCATAGACTCCACTAACTGACGTGTTTGCGACCTTTGGCCTTGCAAGTCCTCCGTGCGAACAAGAACTATCTATCTATCTATCTATCTATCTATCTATCTACCTATCTACCTATCTACCTATCTACCTATCTACCTATCTATCTATCTATCTATCTATCTATCTATCTATCTATGTTTTTGTATGTATATATAATATATACTGATGCATGTGTATATATATATATATACACACGCCCCTATAACTGTGCCGATATATATATATATATATACATATATATATATATATATGTAGGTGTATGTATGTATGTATGTATGTATGTATGTATGTATGTATGTATGTATGTATGTATGTATGTATGTATCTGTACCAATATCTATATCGAAACACCTCTGTGTCTATGCCTATACCTATAGCTGTAGCGACAGCCAGGATATGTATATATTTATACGAACCGATTTACCTACTGTTTATTTGTTTCTGTTATTTTTGAAAACAGCGAGTTCAATTCCTCCGCTGCCAGGCCAGGTGACATGCAATTCCTCGTACTCCGAGTCCTCCGCCAACCAAAGACATGCTAGTACGACGAGACCTTCATCCGGCTGATGTGGTGATCGTATCGAACTCCCCCGCCGTCTAGTCTAATCATGTAGGTCTTTGCACCAAAAAAGGCATTCTCTCAGGCGCCGGCCTTGTTGACGAAGGGCCGCAGGCAGGTACGGGTTTAGGGTTTACCCCCAAGCTCCATGTACCTATACAGTATCTCCTTTGGCCTTAACATACCCATAGGAACCCCTTTAAGGCTTAAGTATATACTTTATGGGCACATGGAGCCTTTAGGTCAAGAGTGTAGGGTCTAGGGGTCCTGTGAATCCAAGCACCAAAATCGAACGGGGTCCCTAGCCCACAGAGCCACAGAGCCTGCTAGCAGTAAACAAGCCTCCAACTTCTATAGTCGAAAACCGATGTAAGTCGCTACAGCCCCCCCCCCCCCATGGCAAACTGAATCATTTAATCCCAAGGCCCTTACACCCTCCTCCCTTGAAGCCGAAGTCCCTAAACCCCTGCTTATATAGCTCCCAAACCCTTTAAGCACTGGCACGAACTCTTGACTGAGCCCTGAAATCAAAAACTAAACCCTGACCCCTAAACCCTAAAACCCTAAAGCCCCTAAACAGCTGAAGCCTTAAAACCTTAGCCCCAAAACCTTAAAACCCCAAACCCCAAAACCCAAGCCCCCCCAAAACCACAAACAACAAGCTGCCTCGCACTCATCCAAAAGTGCAGAGGCGGCGGTAGACAGACCCATGTCCTAAGCGGGAAAAGCAAGGCTTAGAAAACCGGGAGTTTCAGTTTGTGGCTTTGTGTTTAAGGGTTTAGAATTTGGGGCTTTAGGAATTTATGGTTTTGGGGCTTAGGGTCTTCTGGTTTAGGCTTAGGGTTTGGGGATAAGGAGAGAGAAGGGTGCAAGTTGTTTTGTCTTCGAATTTTGTTGTTGACTATGTGAACTTTGGATTTCACCCTCTAGGGTCCAGAGCCGATTTGGCTTCAGGGCATTAAAGTTTAGTGTTTAGGATTGGCGGCTTAGGGTCTATAGGGTTTTGGATACCAAGAGGGTCTTCAGAATCAGGCCATTGATTGAAACTCCATCCTATCAAAATGATGCCCTACGTGTATGGGAGCATGGGGAGTCTGTGCATACAGCGAGAAATGCGATGCTCGATGATGACATTAGGGACGAGCAGCTTCCTTTCAGGCCTTCTGTGAGGGTTCGGGGTTTAAGGGGTTCGGAGGATTCGAGATATTAGGAGGGCTTGACGACATCTTCTCGACAGTGACACTTTTTTTCGCGCTACGTAGGGCCATATCATCGCCGCGCCGAACCCCCAATGGGCTGGCGGGAAGGGCCTGCTCCGGCGTTGTTCCTTTAGCCCACTGCCAGAGCTCTGGAGTAGATCGCCGTGTAGACCGCTGGACGCAAGATGTGTCACCAAGTGCCATCCACACATCCGTGTCAGTAGTAGCCGTCTGTCCGAGCGGGCAGTCAGGAAGAGTCTTCCACGGTTAAGGGTTTAGGGCTTAAAGGTTGAAGGGTTTAGGGTTCAGGGTTTGTGTGGATTCTGATGGAACTTGAGCTCACCAGCCATGTTGCCCTTGACAGCGGAAACTACATCCCCTTTCTTCTGCGTCTGCTCGTCTGTGAGATCAGAGCCAGAAGTCGTAATCTCTGGACTGACCTGAAGGTGCATCCTTCTTCAAGCAAGCCAAGGAAGTTGTGGGTCACAGGGCTTTGGGGTTGAGGGTTTTGGAGCTTTGAATCATGGAGTTCAGGGGGGGCTTGTCAGGTTTATGAGCTTGCCGGTGGAAGCCCCCAAGTCTGACCTATGGATGGACATCTTGTAGTTTGAATGAACAACCCCAAAACGCAGTAGCGGGGCCTGAGTTTTTCGACTCCCGTTTGAATAGGAGTACATACTGGTTTAAGTTTAACTACAATACGGAACTTGAGGCCTTGAGGCCCCTCATAATACACCTGAAATACACCCGCCGAGAAGCCCCCCAGCCAAAAACCTTTTCTGGTGGTTCCGTGTGCCTTACGGCCTTACTGTGCTTCTCAAGTCACTACCCCTGAATCACCGGCACTTTCATCTGTTGGTAACCCTAAACCCTATAATTAGTAAAGCAAGAAACCAGAAAAAACGAAAACAACATAAGCCTTAGCCCCCTGCATACATGGAGCGAACCACGGCGGCAATGTTCTGGCCTTCAGTCGAAGCATCGCATGTTGAAGAACCCGAAAATTTAGACTCGCCCTGGAGGATACTCGGTATGCTCACTAAATACAGCGATTGTGAGGGTCACCATGTTGACGTGATGATGGTATGGAGTGTGGAGATCTTTCTGGTTCAGTCTCAGAGACGCAAGGGTGAGGTGCCCGAACGAGCCTTCATGTTTTTTACAGAACAGGTCGGCGCGGACGAGCAATCTGCCATGGAGTCTCGCTTATCTGGAAGCGACCACATACAGGCTAATTGGTATGCTTCGTATAGGCCTCCTAGTAGCTAGTGCAGGACGAGTTTTTCTCCAAATGAGTATGAACTGAAAGTCTGTCTGAGACTAGCACGATCCTGAAACTCCGGACCCTAAACCCAAACAGGAGAACTCGGAAAGTACGTACAGCACACGTCTCACTGCTTCTTCGAGGAATGAAGTCAGGATCCCTCATGGTTGGCATCTACAGTAGTTTGACAGTCCTCCAACTCTCCACATTGAAGCCCGAAACCTGAGCCAAAGCTTCTGCACTGGTGTTAACGAGATCGACTCCCGTCAAGACCTGGTCTGCGCTGGAACTCTCTGAAACCCAAACCCCAGAAGCCTAACCTCGTCCTCAACCCCCGGAGGCGAAATTCAAGTTACACCTGCAGTGCCTGCAGCGTGCAGATATGCACCTTTCCTTCTACTCGAACACACGCTTGAACACATCTTCATTAAAGCAATGCATGCATGTGTACATACATGCAGTCAATAATTTACTCATTCATTCGTTCATACATACAGAAGAAGATGAAAAGTAGTAACACAGCTATGGTAGGTGTAATGATATAACAAGAAGAAGAACATGTATTCAACTTCTCTCAACCCCAGGCCCTGGGACCCCCGGCGCCGGCCCTCGCTGAGCTCGGCAGCGGAGCCCAACAGTTCCGATGCCAAGCGCTTGGGCGCGCTCGGGTGCGCCAGAGCCTGGGGCTGTGGTTTTGAGATTTCACGTGGGTTAAAAGTCACTTTTGGGGCTTGGGGTGGCCTCAAGCAAAAACAGTTTATAGCTTTATGAACTTTCTTGAGGTTGTACAATGACGGTTGTGCGGCTTTCTTTTCTGTCTAGGGATCCGGCTTCGGTGGCTTGAACCAGGCGGCTTCTCGAGGTTTGTATAGTGTCACATGGGTTTCAAAGGCGTTCATCGGATTGCCATGAACCTTGGTTTGTTCAAGGGCTTGGGGCCTGATCTGTTGGATACCTCATTTTGGATTTCTTCCTGGAGTGTATGGGACTTCATACGGTTTCATAACGGGGTTCCAGGGTTTTGTGAAGGCTTGGGGGATGATATGGTTAGTTCTCTAAGCTAGGGTGACTTTTTGGTCCTGTTTCTACGGACGCCGCTATTTTGGTCACTTGAACGGGACCCTACTTCAGAGAACTACCCATATCAGGGTTCTTGGAGGGACGAGGGGGCATGCTGACTCGAGGACGTGAGAGCTAGCTGTTCAAAAGTAGTCAGATCAGAGCCTCAAAGGTACTTGGCGTCGATCGAGGGGCTTAGGGCTAGGGTTACCCTAAACCAAAAAAACCCTGAACCTCAAGCCTGGAACTCCAGAAGAAATGGCGGACGCATCGAGGCCAACTGCCCTACTGTCGACAGCCTTCTCCACGAATCCATTCCGCGATGGTGGCAGACGGGCTGTTGCCCAAACGATTGACCTCTCGTTCACTGCAGGGTTTGAGTTTGAGCCCAGGGTCACCGCGACATACTTGCCAGCCCAAGGCGTTCGAACCCGAAAACAGAAGAGTCTGCTTGACAACCTTAAGCCCTAAACCCTGACCCTACAAACCTCTCAACGCCAAGCCCTAAATCCTAACTAGTGCGGTGCCCCAAGGGGAACCTCTTCGGGGAAGCCAAAACTCGCAGGCAACCCAGATGCTAGGAACCCCCTGTCCCCTCTAGGATCTTTACTTTGATCCTTTTCCAGGGGAGGGGAATCACTACTACTTAGTGGGCTACGCACAATGCACTCTAAGATGCACGTCTGGAAGCGCTCCACAGCTTGCGACATGAAATCCCCTAAAGTCCCTACTGTCCGAGAGTAATCAATGGATCGTTTCCGTCAATCCGTGGCCCCTAGAAAGGGAACCCCCCGTTGGCTTTGAAGTTCGGGGGGTAGGGCCAATCGCTCGGCTGGGGGGCTTCGCGTTTTCGGGCCGAAACTATTGAGTATCAACCTGGCTTTAGGGCTTTAGGCTTAATTACAGGGTTTACTGCTTCGGTTGTAGGGTGTTCTAGTGTGTAGGCTTTTGTGTAAAGGGTTTAGGGCATACAAGGCTTACGGGGATCAGAGTTTAGGACTTAGGCAGGCTTTGGCTTCGGTAGTTTCGGAATGACTGTTTCGGAATGACTGCTTAGGGTATTGCCACAGTCTTTGCAGGTTTGCGGATGAGTACTTCAAATCAATTCGCTCATCGCATCGATGTCATAGTAGTTCCAAGCTGACACCTCGTCAATCTGACAATTTGATTCGGAATGCCTCCTCGGCAACCTAGCCGCCTCCATCTTGTCGATGGACTTGAGATTGGTTGGAGACAGGGCTGTCTTCATGTCGATGAGTGGTGGCGTCGCGGAGTTGGCAGCGAGGTCCTTCGCAAGCATATTATACCCTAGACCGTATAAGCACCACAAACACTCATACCCTGGGCCCTGTGTCCCAAGCCCCTTATTATCGCCCTATACCCAAAACCTACAAGCCCCCAATCACAACCCCCCAACAGCCCCAACACCCACAAATCGTAAAGCCCCAAACCCAACACCCCAAAAGAACCCGTACAGAACCCCTTTATAGAACCCTCCCTAAACTGCGAGCCCCGAAAGCCTCCCTAAACAGCATGCAACTTTCGCCGGGTCCACGCCAGGTGCGCGGGACCATCCTTCACGAGCCCAACCTGGGTAACTGCGGCTTCGGGCTTAGGGTTTAGAGCTTTGGGGTTTAGGGGTGCAGGGTTTAGGGTTTCGGGTTTCGGGTTTTGGTCTTAGGTTGGGTCCTAGGTTGCAGGGCTTCGGGTTTTGGGCTTCGGGTAGCTACTTGGAAGAGTTTAAGGGGTGTGGAGGTCTTTTTGTTGGGTACTGATGCTTGAGGGGTTGAGGATGGCTTGGGCTTTTAGTGTTTAGGGTGTACGAGAGTTATATACCTATCTATCTATCTGTCTATCTATCTATAGATATAGATATAGATATATATATATATATATGTATGGTTTCGGGCTGGTTTGTCGTTTTGCCTACTGGTTTAGGGGTTTAGGGGTTAAGGGCTTTGGGTTTGTGGATTAGGGTAGATACCTGGAAGGGTTGACAGTTTTCCGTTCAAAGGTGGTGAAGGGTTTAAGTTTTAGGATTCGGCCTGAAATGGGTGAAAACTGGTGCTTAAAGGCAGAGTAGGAGATTGGATCCCTCGTGCAATCCCTTACTAACTATGCTGCTTAGTTCCTGCACTCTCCGCACGAGTACGTTTTGGTCAGTTAGTAAGTTTTGGGTAGCTACTAGCTGCTTGGAGGGTTTATGGTTTAGGGTTTCTAGGGCATGTAAGGGCTTAGGGTCTTATAGGGCTTATAATGTTCAGTGGGATTGTGGGTCTTGGTTTTATGGCTTATGGAGGTTGTGACACTACACATAACTACACCATAAAGACCCGAAGCCGAAAGCTCTGAAGGCACATGGTGCAGTCCCAAGCTGTCAGGCCCTCGAAAGCCTGAACGCCAGAACACCCAAGGCCAGACCGAAAGACGTGTACCGTAACCCCTTAGTAAACCCCGAAAATCTTGGGAATCGGATTAAGGACTGTTAGTGCTAGAATTCCCTATGCATGACCCTTAAGGCTAGAGGCTATTGGGCTTCCATCTTTTGGGCTTCTAATCTAAGTCCTACAATGCATGGCCAAGGCGTTTCCAGGCCAAAACCCGGAACCCAGACCTGGACCCGGATACCCCCGAACCCACAAAGACCGAAACCCTGTAGAACCCCAAGGGCTTGAAAGCCAAACAGCCGTCTGAGGCGCGACTACGCCCTCCTCTGCGACTCTAAACCCTAAACTCCAAGCTTATAAACCCTGAACCCTAAACACTAACCTGTAAGCTTTTGCAGCCCTCAACCCTGAATCCTCAGGCGTCTACTACTCCCTCCTCTGCCACCGCACGGAGGAGCAGTTCGATGCAGTCGCGGTGATGTTCAGAAAGAACCTGAACTTCTCGCCATTACGGCTCTACCCCTTACACTCTTTACGGCGGAGGGTTCAGGGTTCAGGGTTTCGGGTTTACTATTTAGGGCTTAAGGTGTTCAGGGTTTCGGCCCGTTACGGGCTAAGCTTAAGGTCCCAGGTTCAGGGTTTAGGGCCAGGGCTTCGGGCGCCTTAGACTGCTAAGGGCCTGGGCCAGGGTTCAGGGTCGGGTTTCGGGCTTCGGGTTCAGGGTGTGAGGTTCAGGGTCAGGGTTTAGGGTGAAGCCCCTTAAACTCAGAGTAACAAAGGTGTCGCTTGTAATTTGTAGCAAAAACGGCAAGAGACAGCCCAGGCTGTTGATGCACAAAACCCTGTGAAATTCATAGGGCTTTTGCATTTGCATGAGATTTGTATGAGAGATTTATATAACTATATAGCGACTGCACAAGTTGTTTGTGGCGGGTGAATACTGGGCTTAGGTGCATTAGCCAAAAGGGGGGCATACTACAGCTCATCATGCAACGATTGACGGCAATATCGGATTCTGTCTCCCAAACCCGATGCCCTGTTCTCACGATGGATTCGGGCTTTCGGTTGTATTTCGATGTGAAGGACTAGTCTGTATGATTTACAACAAGAAGAACCGCAGGATCTGGGCCCCGTGCGACCCCCGACTCCCAAAGCCCCAAACCTGTAAAGCCCACAACGCCCCTTGACGTAGGGGCCCCAAGGCCTCTGATCGGGCTTCTGGGTATGTTATAGTCAAATTACAGTCAGGAATCCTCCGAACTACACCGTTTAAACAAACTTCAAGTGCTCCGGAACGGGCTAGACTCTAGACTTCTTGGCGCCTCTTTCTGAATCGGGATTTAGAGCCTTCGTACAAAACAACTCTCACTAATTCTCTAATCTTGTGCTTTAGGCTCCTACGCTTCAGTAAAGCCCTCGTGCAGAAACCCTAAATCCTAAACCCTATTTACGGCCGTGAAACCGGCAATCACACCCTAAACCTTAAATCCACTAACTGCATGCTATGGACCCCTCATAGAGCCTCCGAAAACCCCTGAAGATCCCGTCTAAGAAACCGTACACTCTTAGCAGACAACCCCACAACCCGACCGGGTCCCTGGGCGGCCATGGTCCAAAGCATCCCAGCCACCTTCCGGAGCGCGAGTTGTTTTTATTTATGAAGCCCAAAAAGTCCTAGGTGCTGTTTTATAGAGGATGGTTTCCCAAATCATAATTTCGATTCCTCATGTAGAAACCCGACATTCTACGAAATAGGTACATTGGATAGGCTTTCTCTATTTATGAGAGGTGTCTGAGACACTGACAGATTGTGAATGGGGCCTTTATGGATCTCTAGGACTATAGGACTGGTGGAACATGTTCTTGGTTTGCTTGCGCTTTCAGTTATGGCCAGTTCAGGCCCCGTGAAAAACTTTCCACGCCGGCTTGGTGCCATCGAATGTAGGTTTCCAAGCAGCTAGGACTCCAAACCCTAAACCTGATATTTCTGTGAAACCCGCGGACCTGAAAAAACACTTAAACCCTCAAGCCCTGCGCAAAACACTAGGCTTGGGCTTCGTAGCTCCAAGTCCTGGAAATCTACGACGGGCCGAAATCACAATGCCAGGCCGGGGCTTAGGGTTGAGGAGTCTGGACAGGTAGAATGCAGGTTTCTGGGACTATAAGGGGACACACTCCCAAAGGGTCCCATGTATGGGGGATACTTCCCTAAATCATAATAATGATTCCTGACATAGAAACCCTACGTTCTACTATAGGTACATTGGAGCACTTTGGGAAAAAAGAAATGTGCAGGCGGGTACAAGGTAGCCCATCGTGTTGGGCTACATTTCGGCTTATCGGAGCATTCCCACAGCACCTCCAGTAGATCATAGTAGATCGTAAACCCTAAGCCCAATAGCCCTAAACCCTAAACCCCTAAACTGGCCCTGCACCCTAAACCCAATATCCCTAAACCCCTAAACTGGCCCTAAACCCTACCGTCAACCTACTGCTTGAAGCCCATAGGGATCCGGTAGGATTTAGGGTTTGCGGTCTTGTTGTTGTTTCTGTATGCTTGTTTGTTCAAGTTGACCTGAACTTTCTATGTCCGCCTGGGTCGGCTCTCGACACTAAGGCTCAGGGTCTAGGGTTTAGGGCACTTGAAGATATCGAAAGCTCCGTGCTGATTCCCTTAAGAGTCAGGATGTTGAACACAACCCAGGCTTCACTGCTTCCTGTTCTCGCATCTGAGAAAAGGGGAAAGAATATCAAATAGGTAATAGGTAATTGAGACCTGCACTGCATCTGCCTGACACTTGAAGTATATATCATATACGGTTGGAAGTTCGGCCACAGCCCGTGCGATGTGCCAGCATCCCTTCACTTGGCGAAATCTCTTCATGCCGTCTCATCTCACTGCACACTTCACCTTGAAACCTTGACGCTTGAGTCCTCGGCCTCTCTCACACTCTCAGACCGTTAAATACTCCACTCAAACGTCTTGCATATAAGGGTTCAGAGTTTAGGGTAAGCAGCACTTCAGTAAGGGCCTTCAAACTTTCCAGAACAAATACCCTTAGCAAAAAAGCCCATGTTTGCGGCCTGGCGCCCGTCGTAGCTGACCCTGGCATTAGGTTCAGGATTATGGTGTAGGGTTGTTTGGGGATTTTGGTTTTGAGCGAGTTTTCGGTGTTGGGGTGTTTTTGGGCTTTTGTGCGAAGGCATCTAGATTCAGAGATCAAGGCTGAATGGTTTAGGCTTCAAATTCTGCCGGGTCTGTTTCAACCCCTATAGTCGCCATTGTAATTCCGTTTTCAGGCTTTTTAAGTTTAGCCAACTTCATATTTAGGATATTACCAGGTAGCTGCCCAAAAAAGAACCACAATGGAGACTATAGGCACTGCGCATCTCACAGCCGCCCTGCTCAACTCTAACTTCTCCTTCTATGGTCCACTGCCCCGATCCCGCAGCCAAGGGCCCAAAGACCTCCAAGCTGAAATAAAGCCTATGTACTATACAACAATGGACTGTAACATACCACAACATAGACAGTAATATACATACCATAACACATACTGTAATATACCAGAGTATATGCCATAATATACTATACCCATCACCACAAAAAGTCGTTTCCATCCTATCCGTTTGCCCTTCTCCCACCCACCTGCGCATGCCAGGAAGAAGCGCATCGATCACCTTTCCAATGCCGCGCACCTTTCGAGCTGTCCGGGGCACGACAATTTCGGAACTTGCAAGGTGTGCCGGGGTGTGGAATTAGGGTTGAGGGATTCTTTGAGTTTCGTGGGCTGGAGTTGCAAATAGCATATAGGGGCCCTGGAAGTCTTAGTCTTAGTGTCATCGCATCGCAGCAGCACCCAAGGTCGGAAGGGTAACCGCAGGGCTCGTACCAATGTGAGGGCTGCTGCTCTAGCAGGTTTAGTATATGGGTTACAAGCATATGATAAGTAAAGGGTGACCATCGCATGCAAAAAGGTCTCTGCACGCCTTTTCGATTCAGACTAGCACCGTCGGCATCAGAAGCCCTGAACCGATCAGCTTAGACTCAAGCCCCGAAAGAACCTTAAACCCTCAACCCCCAAACCCTAAAATCCCAAACCCCAAACCCGAGAACCGCGAACCCCCAACTCCACACCCTACATCCCTACATCCCAAAGAGCCGTGCGCAAACCTGGGCTGTTGAGCTCAAGTTTTCACGATCTGCATGCTAAACTTGATTAAGTTTCTGCAGACTCCCATCTATAGCCCCAAACCCTACAACACGGCAGGCCGAAAGCCCTAGACACTATAGGGGCTCTGGGATCGACAGGTAGGCCGTAAAAACCCCAAACCCTACTTAACGGATCAGGGGAGCTAGTAACTAGGGTTACGATTACGGAAACTATAAATATATACTTATACTGGTACTTTTAACCCCAATTCAGGTAATTACTTAGAACCTTACTTACTAAGTCCCATGATCCTCCAAGTAGTCCCCAAACCCTCAACCCCATCTGCGCCTGGCACACGCCAAAAGCCCAAAGGATGGAGGAGTGATGTTGTGCAACCAGCTCTCCCGCTAGCCTTGCCATGGCGTTGTTAGACTCTTTGACATATAAACCTTCATAACTTACAATTTGGAAGAAGGCCTCCAAAAGGATTTGTTTATGATGCTCTTACGGTCTCAGAGCTTAATGTAGGGACCTCAATGTATGGCAGAGGCTTGTGGGTGGTATGTTTTTATAGGGCTATGGCAAGGAACCTCAGGAGTAATATTGACTAGATATTATGTGTCCAGGCTCCTTGATTGAACCAGGGCAACCCGTTTAAGCGAAACAGACAGGGCCTATACCCTAGAGCCCTTGAGCAGGAAAGAAGGTGCCTCGACTGATGACTGTTTTCTTTACTCGGGGACCTCTACAGAAGACAACGCTGTCTTAGGCAGGGCTCCGGAAGGTTCGATTCATTGTCCACTATCATCTCTCGCGTTTGGTGCCGATCAAAGCAGACAGAGAGGTCAGAGCAAAGCGACCAACTAGGTCAAGTGGCCAGGTACTGCAACGGCAAAAATAACAACAGCAAGCCACTGAAACCTAAACCGCTAACAACCCCGAACCCAAATCACAACCGAAACTTCCCAAGAATCATTTCCCGTCTTGCACCTGCTGCAGGAAGCTGTAAGGGCCGCAAAGAGTGCAGGGTGGCGTTGTCCGGGCTGGCGCAACTCATTCAGCCTTGGTCACCGACGTGGCATGAGAACACATGTCGCCGAAGTACACCTCTCGATAGGGCTTAACTAGGGTTTTGGCTTCAAGGATTATATAGGGTTAGGGTTTAAGGGTCAGGGTTTAGGGTGCCACTTTGATAGGCTCATGTCCCAGAAAATTGTTGCCGCAAAGCAATAGCCAAACCCGAAGGACCAAGCACACTAGCGGCTCCAGATGTTTGGATCAGGTTGGGCAACTGGTAGTATAGGTCTCGAAAGATTTAAATACGGTACGCCCTAATAGTCACCATCTTCTCATGATATCATATACTGTCACCCACAAGAAGGTTCCCCCGCAAGAGACTGCAACGTCCTTCATCACTATCCTTGTCAGGCGATTGGACAAGAAGAGTCGGCTTTCAAAGACATATGACTTCCTTGATAGTGAGAGTAGGGCCTTGGATAAATGTATAGGATAGTTACAACACATGGCTTCATAAATTACACAGGTTGAAGAAGGCTCTTGTTGCATGCTTTTACACGTACATGTACTTGCATGTGAAATCTTGAGGTCACTGTTGCTCGACTGCCACTAAGATGGAACGACCCATCATGTTGAATCTTATGCATCCGATGAACTACTTGAGACTTGATGCTTTCCGCTTTCCTCGAGGTCGTAAAGCTTTGAGGGTCTGGGTTGCGGACTAAGTGACTTCATTTTCTGCTTGTCAGTGATGGGTCCAGACGCACGTGATCGTTCACCTTCTTCTGGGGGTGCTTCCCAGTGAAGATAGCCAACGACCACATTGAACGGTAAACCACAAGACTTCGATACAGTAGCCGCAAAAGAGGCCCTGTTGCATTATAGAACCGGGCCCATGTAGGGCTTAATCAAACCCAAAGGGTCCTATGTACTGTGCCAAACCCTTAGTGCCCCACTCGTCCGCACGGGAGACGTTTGCAAACGACCAGCAGAGGTTTGCCAGATGAAGTGGCCTGGCATGCTGTTTCACGTAAGGGCTTAGGGTTATAGTTAGGTCTAACATTTAAGGGTCTAGGCTATTGCTAATATTTGCTAATGTTGAGGGGCTTAACCTTCTGGTTAGAATTTAATTCCGGTATACACCAGTGTCATCAATCCATCATTGCACCATGATGACTGCTGCTGGCATCTTCTGTTGTGTGTTCTCGTTCGCTGTATGATGTGCGATTCTTGGCAACAAATACTAGCAGTAGCATCGCGGTTTTCCTCTTCCTGTCAAAACAAGTCCGCTTGGTGTTGCATTTTATTGAGCACCCCATGTGCGTGGTTTTCTAAATTAGGTCCCTTTTAGGGTCATTTTTACAAGGGTGCCGAAACTAATGGATTAGGGACCTAAACAGGGACCCTAATTTGGAGAACTGCCCATGTGTGATTCGGGCTTCCGGCAGACTGTCGGGGCTTTTGGGTATCAGCACTTCGGGCTTCAGGGCCTATTACCCATGGCACCAATTACCTAACATGAGGGTCCTTGCTCATTCCCTACTATCCTCCAGGAATCGAAAGAACTTAGGGCTGAAGCAGGTTGAAAACCCTGAAAGCCCGCATAACACCCAAAGCGTCACAGACCTAAACCCTGAATCCTACCTTTAGTGGTTTTCTGCAGCTTCAGGGTGCAGGAAATGTGGCCGGGAGTGCTCCAGCTCACGCACTCTGGCCGCCTGCAGTAGATGATTGTAAACCAGCTTTTTCTTCTTGAATTTCATCGTTTTCTTGGGCTTTTTCAAGGCTTTACCCTAAACCCTAAGCCTAAGCCCTAAACCCTAAACCCAGCATCTCTCGGCTTTTGGGTCTTGGGTTACAAAGCATTGGGCTGGGATCCTGAGGTTCAGGGTTGAGGGTTCAGGGTTTAGCATTTGGGCTTTACGGTTTAGGGTTTATCGTGTTTAGAGTTTAGGGTTTAGGATTTAGGGTTTGGGGAATGAGGACCTTTAGGCTCAGGGTCTTGTGTCAGGATGTTGTTGCTATCGACCGGGGGTGCAGGGCTTGCAGTTTAGGCATTCAAGAGTTGTAGTTTGAAGGCTTGAAGTCGTGCTGAAGACTTCGAACGTCCAGCAGCGTCTCATGTTGAACAATAATCGTAATAGTAGCAATCACAGTATTGTTATAAGTAACAACTACCCTAAAACCTAAACCCTAACATTGTAAGGCTAGTCAGATGCTCTTTGAGGAGCCCACGGCCGCATGGCCCAACGCTTCAAAGAGCTCCTCCTCCCTGGGACCAGCCTAGGAACTTGTTAGGAAGGGGCCCTCCTATAAGGTTCCTTTAAAGGTTCCTTTAAAGGGTTTCTTCCTTTAAGGGTTCCTCGAAAAGATTTCTATTCAGGGTTCTAAGGGGGCTTGTATGACTATCTTGCAAGGCTTAGGGTGTAGGAACCAGTCAAGGAATGAGGAACTTCTTAGGGGTTTTAGGAGTAGAAGAGTAGGGTTCCTTTAAAAGACTCTGGAAAGTATAAACGATGTATCCTACGGATTTGCTTTGGGCCTTCCGGGGCTTTCCAAGGGTTCGTTTTAACTTCGGCTAAGCTCAGGAACTTCCTGAGAAAAGGCCCGTCTCTGGTTAGTATTATGCTTCTGTGGAGCTCCTGTGATCCGCCCGTGCTTTAGTGTGTGAGGTTTAGGGATCAAGATGCAGGGTTTACTGCTGCCGTTTCGGATTTTACAAGGAGGCACGGCACTGTTTGTTGCAAATAGCCTGAGCATTTCTACAATTTCAATGTAGGAAAACTCTGTTCGAAAAGTCTTCTTGCAAGAGCCTATGACTACTTTACATGGAGTAGCTCCTAAAGCCTAAACATCCCTAAACCCTAAACCCTCGTGAATACTGGTCTTCCACCCCTTAAAATAGCTCTACGTACACTCACCATCAGCCTCATAGGAACCCTGCGCACGCACAAGGTTTGGGGCTCCGGGCGTTCGAATTTCAGGATTCAGGCTTTTGTCGGGACACTAAAAGGCTTTGTTTGGGCGACTTTCGGAACACTATCATATGTGAAAGCAGGTTGCATAGGGTCGAAGGTTCAAGGTTTAGTGCTTACAGGCTTACAGCATAAGGCTGCGGCTTCATCGCAAGTTAGTTCAGAATAATGGAGCAAGCTCTTGACTGTGAGACTTGGCTTTACTTATAACTTCCGGCATCCGTGTACAGAAAGGATCTAAGGGACTTCTGCAGAGTTCTGTACTCGAGTCGCTGAAGGATGTCTCGCGATTAAGACCGTGTCGCAGGCTGTAACCACCCTCCGGGCGAGAAACGCAAACACCATTCAGAGTTCATCGTTGGGTTGAAGGTCGGAGGTTCAGGGGACTGAGTACAGCAAGTGAGGGTAAGTCACCTTACTGGCAGCCGTACTTACCAAGTGCCAAGTCCTGAGGTGCTCTACATACGGCTGAAGGTTACTGATATCAAGGACCCAGCGTCTAGGAGTCTGGGCCCGAAATTTAAGTTTTCGGCTCATGGAGATTAGGCTAGGCTTGTTACTTATCATCAGCATAGTAGACCCTACACCCTCAATAAGGGGTTTTGGGTTTATGGCATTCTGTTCCCTTAGTCACCCTCGTTAACCAGCTAAACTGACGTAGATTGCCAACACCTGCGGTGCCTCCTTTAGCCTAGGCATAACTAAACCCTGAATCCTGACACCTAAAACCTAGACCCAAAGTCATCCTAAACCTTATAAAGGTATCTTGATAAGCACAGTAGGGTTTGGCGGACATATTCTGCCATAATCTAATCAGCAGTATGAGGGTATGTTACTACTAAATTTCCGACTCCTATACTATGTGACTGCAGGTAGTCATTCAGCCCTTTTGCGCCCGGTTGAGGCGGTAGATGTATGCCCAAGACCCGAGGCCTCTTGAGATGTAAGGCACTGTTAGGCGTACTCTGCTGAGACTTGGAAGATCGGTCAGGTAAGTACCCGCCTATCATAGGCGTCGATAGACCCCTGCGACACTTGCTGCCAAGTGGCCCTGGCATATGCCCAGGCAATGTTGCAGATGTGGGACCTTGTGCTCTGGATATGTTCTTGACCTTTGGGGATTGCATGGAAACCCGACGGAACATCCTAAGCTTGATTCACCATCCTGCTTCTTACTCAAATTCCACGAGCTTCGAACATCTCAGGAACCGAGGTTCTGCAAAGACCACGAGCTCAACCCTGGGCACCCACACCGCAACTTCCGCAACAGGACCTTCCGAAAGAAGAACCACCTAAACTCCAACAACTTGCACATATGCACTGCTTCGTGTGATTGATGTGACCGTTACTTGCCTGAAGCTTCTGTAAGTGTGTATGTATGTATGTATGTATGTATGTATGTATGTATGTATGTATGTATGTATGTATGTATGTATGTATCTGTGGATGTATGCGTGTATATGTAGGCGTGTAATTATATGTATGCGTGTATATATATATATATACACATGTTGAAGACATGACAAGAAATACAGCAGCATCACAGATCTGGCCATGTGGCGGTTCTAGTAGCGCGCGAGCGTTTGCTGGGATCCGGGCACGTCCATGCCGGAGAAAGACCGCTGAGCCTTTTCTGTGCGTGCACGAAGGCCCGATATAGATTGGGGTTTGTAAGGTTTAGGGGTTTAGGGTTCGGCTAGAGGCCTTAATACTCAGACCAGGGCGTGGCGAGGTGTGTTCAACTTAGGTCTACGAAGGATCTGTCTGCGGTGCTTTACTACAAGCAATGAATGAGGCCTGCTGGATTCTTGGGGAATTATGTTTAAGTCGCCATAACAGGGATATGTCGTACAAGTAAATACCACGCTTTGCCGCTGAAAGCTAGGCCCCTCAGCCAGAATCCACCGGGGCTGTGAACTCCCAACCGTGACAGGACCCTAAACCCGAACTTCAATTTCAAAAATACGTGGATAGAGTCTGGTATTCGCTTGAACAACTGGAAAACTGCACGACTCCGAGACAAGATCACAGAGCTGAGGCTGCGGTATTCGTTTCATACCGGAAACGCACCCAGCGTTATCAGAAACGCTCCTACCTCAAGCTCTCGAAATTCAGAAGTATGCAGCACACGTACTACCAAGAAATACCGATTGAAAATCTGAAATCCCAAACTGGGACCAGGGAGGGAAGTGAACAGCACGGCAACAAACCAACATAATGTGGATGCCTTAATGATTAGAATAGGGTTTTGGGGTATATTGTAACATAGATATACTAAGGAACTCCCAAAATCGTATAGGTAATTCATCAAGGCCCCTATATTACAGAAGGATCGAAGCTCCGTTGCCGCAGGTGAAACCAAGGCTGTACCTACATGGGTAGTTCTCTGAATTAGGGTCCCTTTTTGGGGTCCTTTGTATAAGAGTGGCGTGCATTTTGGGACCTTAAAGGGGTTCCTAATTTAGAGAACTACCCACATGCTGAGCCCCTGTGCATGACAGCTTCGGAACACCACGGGACCTAGGCGGAAGGGACCCAGTCCCAATCTAGACCGGCAAAATAGAAGGATTCTCTTTGTGAAGACAACCCGCCATAACAGACTAGAACCGCCTGCGCTGCCCCGCCACGCACCATACCCCAATGCCTGCGAGGCAGCAGCCCGAAATACGGCGTCGGCAGGATATCCACTGACCTAGAGGCTTCCGGATTTAGGCTTCAGAGGTTGCGGTTTCAAAGGTCAGAGGCTTTTTGGGTTTGTTCAGGTGCAGAACGGTTTATGAAGAGGTCTAAAGTGGAAGGGTTTTCCAAGAAACCCGAACTACCCGTTATCATACCCGCTGTCAAGGCCCAAAAGGGCTCTAGTAAGGGTACGTTGGGGGAATCCTTTTTGGGTTTCGGGCTCAGGGGTGTCCCGCCGTCTGTGCCCCGATCTGATCGCGCACTGTCCGCCATGAAGTGGCAGCAGACCATCAGCAGAAGAGCTGAGTCACAGAGCGAACTGACTTCCCAGCTTCCAAGCTCACGCTTTTCAGAGAGCATGGCGATGTACAGCCTTTCGAACAAAGACCACACGAGTGGCAAGCCTCGTTGCTGTAGGAAAGCGGCGACGCTCCAAGTCGAAGCATCTCATCCAGGCAATAGCGAGCCTCCTCGAGTGGGGCATGGAAGAGGTGGCGTGATGATGCAGACATCTGTATCAGCCTCAGCCATCCATTCCTTTAAGCAGCTGCTTTCTCAACATAATGAATGTCATTGCACCCAGGCCGCTGGTAGCCGAGCTGGGTTCTCGTTGAGGAATTTAGCTTAAGATTCCATAATCGGATCTATGGTAAATAATTAGTAGGGCAATAGGGTTCCTTAATTCTGGTAACTTGAACTAAGAACCCGGAAAGGACCTTCGCCGAAGTCTTCAAGTCCAGCATGTGCAAGTGAGTCTACGGAGTTCAGGGAGTTTAGGGTTTCGGGTCTAGGGTGTATAGGGTTGAGAAGTCTCGGGTCTAGGGTTAGGGAAGAGGGCTTAGGGGGTTTAGGGCTTAGGCTGTTGCTGGGTGTTGCTTGCATAGGTGCAGAACAGCTAACCAGGTCCGAGGGTCCATTAAGATATAGCTAACAACTGCACCTAACCCACCCCTAAAACCACTTAGACTTACCTAGTACAATTGCTGATGTCTCAAGCCCAGATTCCGGACCCATAGCGAACGTATTTCATTCAATGCCGCCCCGAAATGGCAAAACCAAAACTTGCTATACCCTAAACTTCCCAAACCCGAAGCCCCTAAACCCTAACCTTCCTAAACCGAAGCCCCAAAATTCCCAAAACCCTTCATCCAAAACCCTAAACCCTAAACCCTACATCCTAGACCCTCAACCCTAAATCCCAAAACCCTAAATCCTAAGCCCCAACCGTCGAGTCTATCCTGGGAGCTCCGGGCCGCAAGGGCCCAAAGAGTGATTGGAAGCTCCTCCACAAAGAGGCATCGATTGTGGTGCTTTTGTGGGTTTAAGGGCTTGGGGTTTGGGTTTTGTTGGGGGTTTTAGGGCTTATAGGGCTTCTAGGGTTTAGGGTTTTGGGAATTTAAGGCTCAGGGCCTTAGGGTTTAGGGCTACGTTTTGTCGGATGTTAGGGCTTAGGGCACACCGCGCAGACCCTGCAATCCTGACATGTGCCCTCTTTTGTTTCCCTTTTTGGGGGTGGAGGGCTTGTTGCTCAACGGAAATGGCCGATATCCCATGCCAAAACGCTGAGCCCGAGTCCCCGCTCATCGACCACCCATCTTTCTTTCACGCCCTGAACAAGGGGAAACCTATCGCCCATAGAAACCCGAAACTCCTCCGTTCCTGAACGCTTGCGTCCTAACACCCCTAAACCCCATATCCCGAAACTCCCTAGACTTCAAAAAACCCTACAGTTCCCAAACCCTGCAGAAACCCTGAATCAGAAAGGGAAGCCGTCTCTCTCCTGTGCACCGAGCTCGGTAACTCGTGCACTGCCTCATCAGCAAAGTGAGCTACTTAAGGAGCTGCAACCTGTTCTCCGTTGATTTTCGAGATTTCGGAATCGGAAAGCTTAGCAGGTAGGACCTTGAGGTGATTAGGTGCCTCAAACGGACCAACCCTTCAACAACCATGGTTCTAAATCCCAAACCCCGAAACCCCTAAAGCCCAAACCCCAAACCCCAAACACCCTAAACATCCTACAAGCCTGGTCCTAACAACAAAGCCAAGGACCTTAACACAAAGCCCTAAGCCCCCTACAGGGTTAGGGTCAGGGTTAGGGTTCAGGGCTTAGGGCCCCAAAGCCTTAAAAGCTTAAGCGCCGAAACTCTAAACCCGGACCTCCAAACCCAACCCTAAGCCCTAAACCCCTAGCTCAGATCGAAATCTCTAGCACCCCATCCCCCCAGCTCTGAAACCCCGGAGCTCCAAAATCCTGCGAATCCTCTACGAACCCCTTAGCAGTGGGGTCCTTCTTATCGCCTCACTATAGCTACGAGGAAGTGGGAACAAGGGATCTTCTTTTTACCAAGGACCCCGAAGCCCCTTTCCTTTGACTTCCAATAAGGGCTTGTCAACTCGCCAAGCACAAGGCCCTTTACCGTTAGGTGGAGGGTTAGACTCGGTTAGACTAGAGGGTGCAGGAGTCTAGTCCAAGGATTTGTGGTCGTTCGCTTTCGCCACTACTTAAAACTTTAGAACCGGGTTTTGGGTGCTAGGACCTTCCAATCCGAGGTTGGCTCCTCCCGGCCGATACTATGCCCTAAAACCCCGTACCCTAAAGCAGTGAGGCAGCGACATTGCTCCACCAAGGCAGCAAACAAAGGTAGATCACGATGCTGTGCCGCTGCATAGGCCTAGACGCATTGCGACTGGAGTCTGTAAAGCCCTTCGGGGTCGCTTGGGGTGCTAGCGTCTGGGATGCAATTAATGTTCGTAAGGAGTCCTGCCTGCACTCAGCAAGCTCCACAACATGAAACGTGTGATAGGACTAGATGGCCCCTCACGCACTACCTTGATCCGACAACCTAAGCCTGCTAGGCCCTGGGCTTTGGGGTATGGTATACTGTATTTGTACTCGGGAGCCCTAAGGAAGTCTATGACTAATCATTCAGACCCCGATATTACACCCTGCATATACCCTGGAGCCGGAACTCTAACAGCCCAAATCACTACATCCAAAGCAGCAGGAACAACCCACACACAAATCCAAGCACCTTGCGATCGCACAATTCTCGAATTCAAGTTACAATGCATGGTGCTGGCGACGACGGCCACAAGCACCACTACTGCTACTGCAATACCACCACCACGACTAACATTCAAACAAGATCAGGTGTCAGAAGCTTTGCTTTTGCTCTCGCAACGGACAGGCTTGAATCGATCCGCGAAGCGCCGCCAATGGCCGGTGCTGACTGTCTCCAGGGCAGGTAGAAGTTTACGGTACCATGAGGGCAGCCCGGTGCCATGTCGTACGATTCGGTACATTCGAAGCACACGCGCGTGATTGTTCTACCACAACAGACAGGTGGAGCAGGGATCTAGGATGCAGTCCTTCTGATATCTGTGGCCCTGAAGGTTTTGAGTGTAAGGCTGCAGGGGTCAGAGCTTACTACTCATTTCTCCGGCTCACCATCCTTGGCTTCATCCTCCTCCTCCTTCTCCCTCAACTCCTCCTCCTTCTCCCTCTGCTCCACCTCCTTCTCCCGTTGCTCCTCCTCCAGCTTCGTCTCCTTCTCCTGGCAGGGTTTGGCTGTGGTATTGAATTTTGGGGAACAAGGTTTGTATTGCGTTTCGTTGATTATTGCTGTAATGTCTTAGGGTTTTGGGGCTTCGGGGGTCGGGTTCTGGGGTGAAAGGTTTCGGGTTCAAGCTAAGATACGCGGTTTCTCAGGATGGACTGCATGAAAGTACTTTTCTCTATCCCACCCAAGACCTACCTGGCTGCGGGTTTCCTATAAATATTCCTTATCAGGCTTCGAATAAAAAGGTTCTGGTAGTTCATCCTCAGTCTGAGGCACCCGGCCTAAACCCTGAACCTTAAACCCGACACCTTCAACCCTAAACACCTCAACCCTAAACCCCAAAGCCCTAAACCTTAAACCCGAACACCCTGAACCCTTGAGCCCTCAACCCTAAACCCCCAAACCCTAACCCCTAGATCTTAAACCCCCAATTCCCCTGCGTCTTGAAGCCTGAGACTCCCGACCCCAAGGTCCTGATCAAGGGCCTGATTTAGGGGCCGGAATAAGTGGAATAGGGTTTTGGGCTCCTGTAAAAAGTAAATAACAACCAGGCTATGGGTAGTTGTTCTTTAGCTTCTATACTAAGGGGCTTGATAGTTTGGTAGGGTTTGGCGAGCATAGTGCCAAGTTCGTAGATGTTCGTCGTATACTCATGTAGGGCAAGAATGAGACAATACTACTCATTCAGGCCCCTCAGTTAGGTCTGCAAGGCAAAGCGTAAACGCAAAACTCCCAAACCTCAAAACGCTAACCCGAAAGCCCAAAACCCAACAAGCCCCAAAAACCCAAAGCCTTAAACCCAAAAAGGCCCTAAAACCGCAAAACCCCAACAACCCTGAAGGCACCTAAACCCCAAAAGCCCTAGAGACGCCCTCCTTAACGCCTGCGCTGTCCTTGTCGGACTCGTCTCCGAGGATCTCGCTGCGGATGTCACTGTCGAGATCGACCTCGCTGGCAGGAAGGCGACTTAGGATTTAGGCCCGGCTTTAGGATCATGGGACGTGGTAACTAAGGTTTAGGGTTTAGGGTTTAGGATCATGGGACTTAGGACTTAGTAGTAACGAGGGCTATAAGCCAGGTAACTATACTTATAGTTGCCAATAGCCCCAACTGAGGTACTTTTCACCCATACTTACAAAGTCCCATGATCGTCCAAGTAGGGTCCTTGAAGGGCTCCCTTAGAGGCTCCTGCAAGGGATCTTGTAAGGGCTCCACAAACGAGAACTGTCGGGATCTCAGGTGATCTTCATCCGAAGATTCCTTCAAACGTTCCTTCAAGGGTCCCCCCAAGCGTGCTAGAAGGCTGAAGACCTAGACTAGGGTCCTTTTAAGGGATCATCTACGGGTTCTAGACAGGCGTTATTGAGCTTTAAGAGTGCCCTCAAGGGTTCTGCAAAGGGTTTTGTATGGCCTATATCGGGTTTAACACGGGGGCCATTATACAAGAAGACACCCTGAGGCTCAGAATGGCCTTATATTATGGTCTTTCGGCCCAATCGCCTTAGTATATATATATCTATATATATAGAGAGAGAGAGAGAGAGAGAGATAGAGAGATAGGTTGAGTTCCTAGACCCCAGAAAAAAGCCGAGGATGTGAAGAAATCGCAGGATCAAAGACTAAACCCGCAAGGCCTTGCAACCGAAATGCCAACACAGAAATACACAATCACCAAGAAGACAGGTGTCGCAAAGACTTGATACAATATGCATACTTTTACGCATGCTTAGCTTTACTAGTGTGTGTATATGTATATATATATATATACACATACACACACTGTGTGCCGACTGTGTGCACAGAAATGTATATTAATCATAGCTAATGTGGTCTCCTGATCAATTACCCCCTGATCATCCTGAATCAGGATTAGTGGTCGGGGTGTTTTTCCGCCTCTGGATATTTGCTTTTTGGAGGGGTGGTGGGGTCTAAGTTGTTGAAAGGTCACTAGTACAGTAATAGCACAATATAGTACAGTAGCAGTACAACAGTAGTACAGTAGTAGCGACAGGACAGGGGGCCCCTAAACCCCTAAACCCTAAGCCGTAAGTTTGGCTGGCTGGCTATCTCTCCTCTCTGTGTCTCCTCTGTCTTGTCTGTCTCTGTCTCTCCGCTTCCCGGGCGCCAGTTTGTAGTAGCAGTGTCTACTTTCCCAAAGCTTATACATTTAAAAGCTGGGCTTTAGGACTATTGAGGGGGCACTAGGGCAACTAATTATTATTGTGCACAGGCCGAGTTTAGCTCAATTGAGGGGACCTTTCCACTATTGAATCACTGTCACGAGCTCACATTACTGTGACCGAGAGGCGCTTGAGCACGGAAAAAAGCAAAACAAGCTTTTTATAGTGTTTCGCTGAACCAAACACGTGCACCACCTGCCTCAATCCTAACCCCAAACCTAAGCTTAAAGCCTGGAATGGGGGGAGCAAAATCCCTGTATTTTCCCATGTTCCGACCTTATGACCGCAGCCCTAAACCTACGCCCTTCTGACTCCGAAGACCCGGAGCCGGAGCCGGAACCGTGTCGCAAGAAACCCCGAGACCCCAGAGGTTTGGGGCTTAGGGATGTAGGGTTTTTGGGCTTGTGAACATACTAGCAGGCAATCCGAAAACGCATGAAACCATCAATGAGAGCTTCAATTGTAAAACATCCCGTTGTAAATCAATCCTCAAAAGAAGCCTACAAAACCTGTGCATGTTCAACCCTCAACCATCGACCCGAACCTCTAATTCCTAATCCAAAATCCCTAATCCCTACTTGGAGGATCATGGCACTTGGTAACTAAGCTTGTAAGCACCTTGCTTGGGGCTAAGTAATAATGAGCCTAGTTACCTTGCTTATAGCCCTAGTTACTAAGTCCCATGACCCTTCAAGTAACCCGGAACCCCGCCTCCGAAGACTTCGAAAGTGGCTCGGAGAGCTCACTGCAAGGGCTGTTGGAGCCCTCCGGGTCGCTCGCGCCTTGGGAGGAGCGCTTGGGTTTGCAGGGGTTTGGGGCTTAGGGTTTAGAGTTTAGGGTTTGCGTTTTGGGTTTGGGTTTGCGGGGGCTTGGGGTTAAGAACTGTTTGGGGAGTATGTAGGCTTTTTTGGGGTTGCTAACTAGCATTCCCACTAACCTTGGAGAAAAAGGTGGTATTGGCTAGCGTTTATCAGGAATTTGCGACCACGAAACGGGAAAAGGGCCCACTGCAAGACCGTTTTAGGACTTAGGCCTACGGATACGGCTAAAGGCTTTCCGGGCATGTTTTCAGGTCTCGACGGATTCGGTCGCTTGGGTTCTGTATTTCGGCTTGGTGAGAGGACGGTTGGGGAGTTTGAAACAAGAAGGGTGCTCGTTTCCAGGCTTTCACAATGCCGAGGGTGCAGGAATCGACACTCAGGAATTGCAGGTTTGGGAAGGGTTTGGTGTCTATCATAGTACATGTAGACGTAGATATAGACATAGATATAAATCGCGATATAGATTACAGATATAGGTATAGATACAGATCTAGAACAGATCTAGATATAGATATAAATACAGACATAGACATAGAGATGGATGCAGACATAGATATAGATACAGATAGGGATAGCTAGACAGCTAAATAGACAGACAGATAGTTAGATAGCTAGCTAGCTAGAGAGCTGGATAGCATAATGATGTAGATGAAGAGATATAGAGATATGGGGGTATAACTGTAGATAAAGATACAGATTTCGATATATATATATATATATGTATATATTTACTTATTACATATATATATATATAGGTGTAAATATAAATAGAGGTACAGATAAGGATGTAGATGTAAAAACATAGATATAGATGTAGGCATAGATATACTTACAAATTAAGACCAAGATATTATGTAGTAGGGACGGTGCGGGGATGTTATTGCGAATTTTTCCACCCTAGAAACCACCAGCATCCCGTTTAAAGTCCTATATTACAGTTACTGACTATGCCGATCCCTCTAGATGCTGCACAAAAGCAAGCCCTAAACCGTAGACATCCCTAAACTCTGGACCCTTAAACCCCTGTGCCCTAAAACCATAAAGATCCTTTCATAGGATCCCTTTAAGGATCCCTCGAAGATTCGAAGATAACCTAAACTGAACCCTACAA